ATACCATGAAGTTGCTGTAATTAATGGTGAAGTTTCCCTCGGGATAGAGAAGCTTGAAGCTTGAAGCTTGGGCAAAGGCAGCAATTAGGAAGCGACACAGGACCTGTAGGAGCACTCAGGGCCCCCGAAGCCCCATCAATCAGACACAGATAAAAGGGTTGAGTGCAAGGGTAATGTATAAGCAAAAGGACATTGTCAGACGGCCCATTAACAGCTTCCTTCAACCAAGCAGAGAAGTGGAGGGTAGACCATCATTTCTGGGTCAAGACCACAGATGTTTTTGCTCCTGACACGGTTTTACCAAATTAAGGATTATTCACAAGAAGCCAAATAGTGTTTACATGTATGTGTATTTTGTTGGGATGCCTTTAGGGGCCTATGGAGTTTTTCTAAAACAAAGAATGATATTATATTTTGTCAATGGCACTTCATATGTCTAGTGCACAGATATTTGAACCCACAAGTAACCATAGCCAATTTAAGAATTTGTACCGCTGTTTAAACAATCAATAGCAGGGTAGAGCTGAAGAGCACAGCGTGTGTTTTCAATCAATCATTACTGGCAAAAGGGCAGCCGCTGTATCGCTGCTGAATACCACAACAGATGAGGCTGTTAAAGAAATCAAAGAGGGCATAAAAGTGTTTTGCTACATCCTCATGTTGATCTGATTTATACTCCCTTGTTTTGTGATAAGACCAGGGAGACCCCGGCCTACCTCCCCCAACTCAACGGTTGCTCCCTCTGAGAGCCGCAGGTGGGGGCTGAGACAAGGCAGCGGTTATCGGGGAAGACTGTGGACGACTGTGGACGAACGCGTCTATACGTTAGCGGATACAACTGATATCGTCTCCGTGTGGACGGGGCCTTGCCTATCGTATAGACGGTTCGTCCACACGAGGCCGAAACGGAAACGCGGATTCGGAGCCCGAATCCGATACACTTTGATAACGGCTCCCAAAGTGGGTAGGTCTGAGGACGAAACGCTTGCGGCTCCGTGTGTACGCCTTGCCTATACGATCATTCCCTGAAACGATGACGCCATAGCCCCGCCTCTCCCCACCTCTCCTGCTCACCCCCGCGTCATTGCTGATGCGTTTCGCCAACAACAACAACAATGGCGGATCACAGGGTTGCGTTTGTGCTCCAGACGCTACTGACCATGATACAGATGTTAGTGCAACCATCAGCAACAAGTGGACATTTATGTGTTAGTTTATACCTTATGCCCATGCTCGGGGGTTCTTACTCGCTGCTTTTGGTGTATTTTGTGGCGGAAGTACAGCGCCACTTACAGGCCTGGCATATGTACTACAGCGTCTCCAGGGTTTTTGAGGGTTTTCGTGTAGACAGACACGTTTCTTGAGCCGATTCTGTCTGGACAGAAGACTTTTTTGAAAGCGGCTTCGGTTCGTTTTCGTTTTCGTCTCCGTTTCGTCTCCGTGTGGACGGGGCCTAAGAAAGCTCAGAGGACTGGAGATTATAGAGCAGGTTCAATCAATAAAACCAACAGATGGAAGGCAGAATGATCTACTGAAACTAAAACTGACTCTTTGTTATGTTTTGCAACTATATAAAATCACTACGAAGTTGAAAGTTTAAAAAAAAAGTATGGAGCTGTTTCTGTTTCTCCAGTGTGTCTCTGCTGACTAAACTCTGTGAACCCCATTCCTAAGTCAACTGATAATGCAGAACAAAACTATACATGTGGTCTAGACAAAGAGAAGGTAAACATAGACTGACAGTATACAGTACATGCATGCATGGTATTATATCCCTATCCTGTGTTTATATATATGTTGGCATGCAATCCCAGATGTGGAGCAATATCTGTTTCCTCCATTACCGTGTGTCTGTTGTGCAGGTGTCAGATCTGGGTTTCACATAAAGTAATCCCCCTGCTTCCCCCTGCTTCCCCCTGCTTCCCCCTCCCAGTGAGAATTCAGCCACACTCTGCAGCAAACAAAAAAAGAGACTCATGAATCATTTATTGTCATCAATTAATAATGAATCCTGTCAAACACTGAGGATGCAGCTGGCTGCCAGGCTCTGCCACTCATTAGCTTGGTGAGGAACAAACCTCTTTTGTGTGAGAGACTGTAACTTGTCACAAAAGGATAACAGTTATAGGTGTTACCGGAAAAGTGACCGTGTTGTACTGTACTAAACACTGATCTTTGTTTGTATGTTTTTAAGGTGGCATCATTTTATCAACCTGCCTTTTTCAGACATGAGGTTAATAGAAAAAGAAAGATAAATTAGAGATAATAAGGGAAGAAAAATGTATAATGTAGAAAATAAAAACATTAGAATGTAGAAATTCATGGTGAAAAGTCCTCTGAAACACCAGTTACACCACCATGTGACAATAAAGGTCTCAACTGCCACACCTTGTGATGGAATGAGGATAGCTCAAACTAAAATGTGTTATAAATACATCAATGTCATGTTAGCATTAAGCAATACAAATTTAAACTCTGTATTAAACAAGGGATAATCTCAGCAGCTCAAAAGCTATGACACATTCCGCTAATAGTTTACTGTGTTTATTTACAACAAATAACATAAGAGATGTCCTTTTTTAAAATCATGACTCATAATAAAGAGATGTCACATAAGTCTCCCACAGTTATTATTGCAGTACAGCTCACTGCTTGAAGACAACCAAGGTATTACAGTAGGAAGGTACAGTTTGTCATCTAGTTTGTATTTTGAAATGGGTGATTAGAGAATAATTAATCAAGAAAGGTGAAAGTAAATCTTTAAAAAATAAATATATAATATTGATATGTTTTGTGCCAATTTACTCAGTGAAAGCATTTTGAGTGGTGCACTGATGGTGCTGGCATCCAGACTTAAGATGTCGTAAACATGGCGGATCAAAATAGACACAATATTTTTGTCACTCCGTATCAGTCATGGGTTTGATGTGATATGTTCATACAGCCAGATATAAACCAAAGATAGCAATGCCAGTCTGTCACGGATAACTATATAAAATACATACATTTATATTTATAGATTTATGAAAAGTTTGAACTTGAACCATTTCACTGCTGATAATTATGGGTGAATAATGAGAACATTTACATCTGCTGATCTACATGCCACAGGTCCCAGCACCTCTCCTACAGGAGCAAGACACTCAGACTTCAAAGTGTTTATGCTCTCTTTGCTGTTTTTTTTTAGCCTTTTTGTCGCTTCCTTCTTTTCTGTTCGATGGTGTCTCTTAAATGTAATTTTGTGTCTCTTTTTTTGTTTTTCTGAGTCTCCTTGTGGGTATTTGATGACTCATGGTGGAGTAATATATGTTCAGTCTGCCTGCATTATGCTTGTCCATCTGCACACACAACAAGTCTCTGCGTCCCTGCTCAGCGTCATGATCACTGCTGTGACTGCTGGAGTTGAAAGTGATCCAGAATCTAACGCTACTGCCAAGCTGTGGCTCCTAAGATTATCAGTGGCAGCAACAATGAAAGCTTCCCGGCCCACACTTCAGCATCACTGCTTACAGGCAGTAGAAACACAGTCAAAGCCAACAATGGCCTTCACTGGTCCACCAGCCATCACAAAGTCAACAACTCCTGCCAGGAATCACACACACACACACACACACACACACACACACACACACACACACACACACACACACACACACACACACACACACACACACACGCCACTTCACCAGCATGCTGCATTATTTGGCACCTTTTCAAACATCTGACGGTCTGGAGGGGAGAGGCCTTTGAGGGGGCAGTTATTATAGAACCTTTATTTTTAAATAATATTGCTAAGTATTTTTCTTTCTTTTTTTCTTTCAAATTATTCATTATTAATTAATCAAAATCTGTGATATAATAAATGTAATACTTTTATTGGCAAACATTTTATAAATAAATTGCATTACATTTGCGGTATTACTGTAACAAGCGGAAAAGAGAAAGATACGTGAGGTGAACATTTATTTGACACTAAGGCAAATAATACTTGCTGTAGTCAGTGACTCTTTTGTGAGCTTAGTTTTTAATGAATCAAGTCCAAAAACAGACTTCTTTGAGAAAAGATTGTTGTTGAAGAGATGAACAATAAGCTGCAGCAGTAAAGAACCAACCCAGCTGAGGGAGGACAGAAGAATGATTCCAGTCAAAGCACCAAGACTGTGTCCATTTGAACATTTATAAACAAAGCACATACTTTTAAAATACTTAAAATTGTCAAAGCTCGAGAAATTGTGTTTTTCAAGGATGGTGGTGGTATGAATATGGCTTTCTGTCAAACACCTTGATATATTGAACATGCTTGTTAATTAACGATGGTGAATTTGTGTAGGCTACCTTAATATAAAGTGTTACCGAATAGTTTAACCGAGCTCCCATTAGTTTGATGTTACCTGTTTGCAATGCACCTTAAAAAAACGTCATGATGTATTTACTCTCCCCCACTGCATTTAGCATCTATCTATCTACTGGCCTACATGTCTACTCTTATTCTATTCAATGCATGCAGTCTTGAGCAATAGTGTCAGTGCAGTGCTTGAGAAAAACAACAAAGCAAACTTGTAGTCTCCTGATAAAGTTGTAGTCTGTGGCATAGCACCATGTCACACACTGTTAGTCCTCCAGAAAGCCACATGGACCACAGCGCCTGGAGCCAAACTGGCGCCATCCACTTCCTGGGCACAGGCAGGCAAGAGAACACCAGCTCTATTTATAACTTCTTATTAGTGTGGAGTGTTTTCAAATGAGGCTGAAAAGATAAGACAGCAGCAGGAAAAAGGTCAGTGTTGGTGGGTTCTATGTCTGTCTTTTGTAACAGGAAAGATAATGCTGATTGGCAAAGTAATTTTTTTTTAAACAAAGTTAAATGTTGGTTCTTACTCCTAGCAGGGTGGAAAGATACCTGAAGAGGAAACACGAAATTGACACAAAATCACTAGTTGCTAGGCCGAAAGTGTGCGCGGTGCCTTTAAGAGGATCAAAACAACCGTTTACTTCCTGTAGGTTAGCAATAGCATTAATCTACTTCAGGACTAACATTACTTGTGAAATATTAACTTTAAATACTGTATAAAAGTGTTGCTGACAATACAAAGAGACTGCAAGAGGGTCGTAGAGGGGATATATTTGTTTTAAGGGTTTAGAGGTAACGTTTTGTAATGGCAGGTAGAAAAAGAAAGATGCTGCCCGTGACAGATGCAGTAGCAGCAATAATTAAGCATAAAAACCGGACGGATTTAACTCTGAATGTCTCACCTGCTAAACTGAAGAACAATCCTTGTGAAACTCTTGAAAATGCTCAAAATTGTGAGGCGCAGCACAGCCACTACTTCACCAATAATGACCTGCATCAAAGACTGGAAGAGGATTTTTTCAAACAATCATGCATTAGTTTGGCAAAAGCATTCATTGGCAAGGTAATGCTGCACGGTTTGTTTTTGTAAGGATGATTTCTGAAAGCCATATAAAGCTCTATCCATGCACATGTCCAGTTTGTCTACGTTTCAAACTCTTAACAATTTAAACTACTTTTGATTTCAAGTGCTTCATTAAGTTAGTGTAGTCTTCAGTCAGTCACTGTTAAATTGTTTATCAGTTGATTACGCCATAGACTCCATGGGTCAGCTAAAACCTTGTAAAATCCCAAAACACATAACCAAAATATGTTATCCTATCAGAGAAGGCTTAAAATAAAAAAATTGAGAAGCTTGGAGCATTACATTTTTGGCTTTATCTTTGTCACAAACCTCATCTTTGTCCTCATTTAAACGTCTTTAAAATAACTATTTTTATATGCCCTCTAATACATGAGTTGTTTTATATGTTTTGAACTATAATACAGCTATTTTCTTGTTGTATAATTTAAATTTCTAATTAATATACGTTTTTTCTTACTTTTCTAATGTGTTTTCTGTTTAACTGTAATAATAATAGATTTCATTTGTAAGCAGGTACTCGCTTTACAGAGATAGTGAAAAAAAAGAACAAATAAATATAGTTAAGGTCACATTAAAATCAAGCAATACAACAACAATCACACATTAAAAGCCAGATTGAATAGGTGAGTTTTGTAATATGTTTTAAAAGGCGCTACTCAAATTCAATGTATTATAACTATCATAATTGTTGACAATTAATCTTCTGTAGGCTGACTAATCATCCAAGTGACTCATTTTAATAACATCTAATCCGTCTCGTTCCTGTTCCCTGCAGGTGTTGGTCCGCAGGTGTGCAGATGGCTCTGAGCTGAGGGGGAGAATAGTGGAAACTGAAGCGTACCTTGGAGGGGAGGATAAAGCTTCACACTCAGCAGGAGGCAAACGCACCGAGAGGAACACAGCCATGTTCATGAAGCCTGGCACGATCTATGTCTATCTAATCTATGGCATATACCTCTGTATGAACGTGTCTAGTGAAGGTAAAAGCATATGCCATTTAGCCTACTAGTGCATACACAATAAGCCTACCTCCAAATATTTATCATTAATCTGACATTAAACAAATACATCAGTGTTTTTGATCGCCAATGCATAAAGGGCAAAAGGAAGGAGACAGGGTGGAGCCTTGCTGACGGATGCATATTGTGTGCTGTATTACCAGGGGAGGGTGCTGCCGTGCTGCTGCGCTCCCTGGAGCCCCTGCAGGGTCAGCCCGCCATGAGGCAGCTGAGGGCAGCCAGACGCAGAGAGGGAGCCCGACTACTGAAGGACAAAGAGCTCTGCAACGGTCCCTCCAAGCTGTGCCAGGCTCTAAATATACCCCGCTGTTTCGACCGTCGAAACCTAGCTGCAGACCCAGAGGTTTGGCTGGAGAAGGACCCCAACATAAATCCAGCAGAACCCAATGACATAGTATCAGCACCACGCATTGGAATTGAGTCCCATGGGGAATGGGCCAAGAAGCCCTGGCGTTTTTATCTCCGTGGGCACCCGTGTGTTAGCGTAGTGAATAAAGAAGCAGAAAGGCAGTCAGTGTCTGGAAATGTAACGAGCAATTTGGTTCCCTCAGAAGTGCAGTCTCACACAGGACAGCACAATGTCAAAAAGACGTGACTACTCTGCCATCTGTTACCTTTGTGGACTTCACCACATAGGCGGTATAACAACTAAACAAGAAAGTCAAGATGGTAAAACAACCTCCATGACTGGTTGACTGAACAAATTCAAATGGGCATAAAATGTACGAACGTTTATTTTTGTAAATCTTAACCTATATTTACTTATTAATGAGTCTTCTTTGGTGCTCCATCAATGTTTTTAATAAACATTCATACTTTGGAAATTCTCTTCTCAGTGATTTCACAGATGTTTGGAGTGCTCTGTTTCTCTCAAAGCAGAAACAATCTGATGTTTAGAGTCTTCGCTTTCCTGCTTTTTTTTCTCCTCACCTCTGGGATTGCTGAGTAGGGGGAGCAGGAGGTCTGGAATGATCATTATGCAGTGTGCCGCTCTGTGGTCGGCACAGATTATCTAACACATCTGGGACATGCAGGGGTTAAACAGCTATGCAAAAATAATCTGAGTTGAGGCATATCTGTTATGTACAAAATAATTTAATATAGTAAACAAACATTTGGCTCATAAGGGAAAAAACAGTTATGTAAATCTGCGATAATTCATTCAACAATCAGGGCACATCAGGCTCACAAACAGACATCTTCTGCACACTGTCCCCGAGCCATTACTCCATGGGGCACTGAAAGATTGAAATAATGGGATCTTCATGGTTGGTCACCACAAGGACACTGCGGAACTTGTCAAACATGGTCTTGAGCTGCGAGCGCCTCATGTTCTCGTTGTACATGATCTCTTCCAGGTGGTGATGTCCCCGGAAATAGTGCAGCAGCCTGGAAACAGTCAACATAACAGGCAGAACAGTTTGATTGAATCATCAACTGGGTACATCCAACATGTTTCTTTACTCCTCTAGACATTTCCTGTTTTAAACATGGACAGAACCTACAGCTGGCAACTGATCTTAACTACCCAGCTGATCATTTCCAATTAAATGTTCTAATATTCTTTGAATGCAATTAATACAACTTCTTATTCTCTCACTTAATCCCCACTAAAACGTATCCCATCTGTTTGGGACCTTTAAGATGGGACAACAGCTGCGATTGTGTGCGTTTATTCACAATGTTTGAGATTGGTTGAATAAAACCTTGGTCGCAATCGGTGTCAGACTGTTCAATATTAATGAATTGAAGTCTGTCAATCTTTGTCTCAGACAGGCCAAACACTGTGGAGTGTCTTTAATCTAAGCATAGAGCTGAGAAGAGTTTAATGCACTGATAAAAAAAACACAAAATATGCTTTGGCTTGGGTCTAAATACCTCGCAAACATCCTCAGATCCTCTGGATTTTGTGCAGCAGGGATGTTTAGGATAACCTGCCTCTCGTGCTCCGACAGGCTGGCGAGCAGCGTCTCCGTCATCCTCTTGTTGAGCGGAGAGCCCCCCCCGGGCAGCAGCTCTGCACTGGAGTTGTCCATACTGGGACTGGTGAGGGTCATGTCATCACTGCTGGCTATGAAGAGGAAGCACACAGACAATCATTGATTATCTATTGCCTTGTCATAGCACTAAGGGTTAGTCAGGAGGGGGCTGAGTGGCGACATACTAGGGGAACCGAAGCTGAGGGCGCTCGGGGTGCTGAGGCTGCGGCCCCCTACTCGGGAAGCCAGTGGAAGATCTTCATCCTTCCAGCCAGGCTCATCTTCGCTGGGAGGAACCAACAGGCAGACGTAGGTGTGCAGCTGGATGAGGAGGCGGCGCTGAAGCATCCACACCACCATCTGGATGAGCTGGGCCTGGAGGAGGAGAAACACAGAACAAGTGAAGCTGAGCAGACTGATGTCCCTAACCAGGTCAAATATTTTAAATCCGCCACTGGTATCACACTAGCTCAAAAATAGAGCCAAAATAAAGCGCCCTGGCTCTGATCTTGTTCTTGGGAAAAATAGAGGCTGCAGACGTTGGAGCTGATGTCCCTTTTCCATTTATTATTCAGCGCCGACGCTCAAGCAGCTATGCCAAAACAACACGGGTCGGAGAACAGCAGATGGCTCTGCTCTTACAACGCAGCGTATACCTTTACAGAAAAAGCCCTTTATATACTAGATGTTTACCGGGATGCTTTCATTGTACTTCTATTTTGTTATAAAAAAAATATTTTGATTATGTTCACAATGTCTGACTACTATTCTTCAATCTAAATATGTTAATGTTTTTAAAAATGGAAACATTACAGTTATTTTCTAATTATGTTTATATTGTTCAGCTCTTTAAAAGAAGACTGGGGGACTGTCAGACTTTTAAAAATGTATTCATTAAATACTATTTGTTTTTGTAGGGCTTGATGTTTATTACTGTGTGAAGGCGTGGGGATGTTGGCTTTGTATTTGTTATTGTACGATAGTCCTACCTCCTGTGCGGGAGCTTCCAGGGGATTTCTGAACTCGGCCAGAGAGACAGGCAGAGAAAACTTGGCTAACATCGAGGGCAGATCATGACCAGGAAACTGCTGAGCAAACTGCTCAGCCAATGATGAGTATCTATCCAGAGAGAGAAGGCCGACATTACGATACATTAACAGCAAGATTTCCCATTAAAGTAGCTTTTTCAACAATGGTGTAAAAGAAAAGGCTATTTGAATTTAGATATTGTGTGTATAGAAGAAAATGACATGTTCTGCCAATGGCCTAATCCAGTAATTTCATAACAAATCTTAAGGTGCAAGTACAAATCTGAATCAACGAAAAATAAAGATTAGATTCGTTTTTGTACCTATGTAGGAGACGATGGCACAGGTGAGTGCTCAGCAATTATTATTATTATTAACTATATTATTATTAGATCAACAGTAATCATCGAACACTCACAGGCTGATGTTGGCGTGAGGAGACAGCATGTAGACGTTGTTCTCACACAGCGGGTAGATGATGATCGCTTTGCCCCAATAAACCAAGTGAGCAGCAATTTGAAAGATCTGAGGGAAATTCATTTGCAAATATTATTAGCAATGCAAAATCAGACAATAAACAAAAATATGGTTTGCAAATGAAAAACAAATGAAGAAGGAAGATATAAGCACTTCTTATACTGGTGGTTTTAGATTGTCTTTGAGTGTACACATATTGTCCACTAGATGGCAGTAAGACACCTTTAACACCTTTCTGGGTAAACAACTTTGACTGGTTCATATTTTAATTTCTCAGATACGCAGTATGACATCGCTCCAGTGTTGACCTTTAAAAAAACTGTGGTACATACATCCTATTTCATCATCACCTTTGATTCTCCTACATGAAACACAACATGTATACCTTTAAGTACACCTTGTGTGGGTTGTATTTAAATGGTTATACACATTGTTTTAATTAGTAGAAGGTCAATCGTATTTTATGCCCTGTGAGATCAGAAAAAGACATCTTGTGTTGTAGAGTGCAGTGGTGATGCAGGCAGTGCTACTGTTCTCCACCTGCAGTAAGGCCAGGTCAGCATCCTGTGCCAGCTGCTGCAGGTTCTTCACCGCTGAGCAGGTTTTGATGAGGCGCACCATCGCAGGCGAGCAGTCCAGAGGAAGCTGGTTCAGCAGCGCCTTCTCACTCTCCAGCAGCAGCAGGGCATGGTAGGGCCTGAGGGAGCAGAGCACATGTGATGTATCAACAGACCTTTTCTTTAGAGGCCAAGACTGGGTCTTCAATAGAAGCCAGAGGGGATCAGCTTTAGAGCCAGTCCACAGAACAACAGAGTGTCGGATTCAGTGAAAATTAAATCATATTTCAGCACAGCACCATTTTCAAAAGTGTCAAAAGGTAGAAATAAAAGATCACAACTCTGATGTAGTATGATGAAGTATCAATAGGGGGCAGTATGTTCCAAAGAAAACATGACGTTTATTTTGGATGCTTTGAATAGTAAGTCACTCATAAAACTTAGCCTTTAATCGGCCTTTAGAGAAAACAATCCCCCTTACACATTACACACTGATGGGGGATTATACTCTCAGTTTTTAGGAACTGCAACTTCTTGCAAGACAACATTTTGTGGGCCGTCTGTGACTAAAAACATTTGTATATATATATATTTACACTGCATAGTCTATTCAAACAACACAGATGAAAGGGGATTGTTAGAATCCTAGGCTACTTGGTAGTCATGTATATGTCATACATGCTGACTGGCTTTATGTAGTCAGTGAGATAGAGTCATGAGTTTTCTAAACTGACGATAACAAACTCATTTTGAAGCTTTGCATGACTGGCCTTGTGAAATTAACAATGAATAAGCTGCTGCTTTCGGGGACCACACATTTTCTCTTCTTGCAATGGTTGCTTTTTTGAGGGCAGAAAAGAAGGAACCTATATTTGCAATTAAAAGTAAAGTTTATAAATGTTTTATATAGTGAATACAAATGTGGCAATTGTTTGAAATAGTTTAAAAAAGAAAAGGCCTTTTGGGTATTAACCTAACTAACATGTGTGTATGCTTTGAGAAGGGGGACTTTGGGTGAGGTATTTGTGTTTATTTATGATAGGCCATTTTTCAGTTTCACAATGATGATTGAAGTGTTGCCAAAAGTGATATTTGAAAGGTTTTAACCCACATAGGAGAGGGTAGAAACCTTTCAGTCTGCACATTAAAGGAACACACAAACCTTATAGCCTTAAGGCTGCGCTCTAAGGCCTCGGGGGGGATGTGGTTGCCGCCAATCCTGTGGATCTTATGTGGTAAACAGAAGCTCACCTCCAGCCAGTTGTTAATGTGCAGACGCACCACACCTGTTGTACAGAGGCTGCAAGAACATGAGTATTAGAATGTTACGTATGAGCCATATACATACAATCTGCATGATAAGAAGAACATAATGCACACACCTGTCATAAGCCTCCTTCAGGTCTCTGGCTAGTTTACATTTGGGAAGAATTTGCCTGAAAGGGGACTGGGGGCTTGCTTCTGCTAATTCCAGAAAGACAGAGAACATTGTCAAAATACATTTTCTAATCTTAACCATAGTACATTAGCTTGATCTGCAATCTGAATTCCAGAGAACCAAAAACTATCTGCAACTTTTTCTGACAATCAATTCATTTTTCAAGTCATTTTTATGCAAAACAAACTCAATTATAGAGATGTCTGTCTTTTCTCTATTTTATATGATATTAATACATTTATAAAGATCACCTTGGACTTTTCAATGTTTCACTATTGTCTGACATTGAATTGGCAGCCCGAACATAATCAAAGTGTAAATCATGTGACGAGCTATATCTC